ACACTAGACTTCACAATTTACTTTCATTAAAAAAAAAAATAGAAGTTACATAGCCTTCTGGTGCGGTCTACATTTTTCTGTTTGATAATAACACCAAATTACACCAAGTCCAACAGCAGCTGAATATAGTTAATGGCCTGATAATGACTTTCACACACTCATGGCCAGGTGCGACTCAAGATGTGTGCTGAAAACTGTGAGCATCCAGAGAATTAAGGTTTCTCCACCAAAGACCTAAACGTGAGCAGGAGAGAAGTCTGGGATTTTTTTAGAATCATTGTTGTCCTTTTTATCCATTACAATGAAAAACAAACAAATGCTGGAAACAAATGTTGTGAAGTGGCCTTGAACAAAACTGACTCTGATTTTCAGCTTAGACACGAGGTCATCCAACTACTTCAACATCCTTGATGTAAAAAGAAAACAAAGTAGCAGCCAATAGAGCCTCACCCAGACGTCGTTTGCTGATGTAGCGAATGCTGCCCAGATGTTTGAGACAGGAAGTTTATTATTGTACAGTAACAGCGAAATACCCTGGAAAAAACATAAAGGAGAATAAACTAAACATTATTTTTACTGTAAATAATCTCCAAACCTAAAAAAACAACCATTCAACATCACCAACCAGGAAGTTAATTGACTCGAAATGGCCTTGTGATTTTTACTATTTTTACATTTAATTTTCAAATATTTAATATAAAAAACCACTACAAACAAACTATTGTAAGTGCAACACGAGTCTCAACATTACCTTCATTTAGCCCAGAAACCTGACACTGAACTGGACACTTGTACATGCGTGAGTGTGTGTGTGTGGGAGGGTGGGTGGTTGATTTGGTTTGGTGCAGCTGCCTATGTGTACACATGTGCAGATGCTGACTCAGGCTTTCACCGTAATCTCCCTCCAACAGCTGGAGTCTAAGCCACATGTTTATCAAGATTCTGGGAGAAGCGGCCGGTCCCTGTGAGTTCAAAAAGCACCAGCTCACTGACTGACTGACTGACTGACTGACTGACTAACTGCGACCCACGGCAGTATCCCACCTCCCAAAGAGCAGTGAAGATGGGAACAGAGGGGGCGACTGGACTGAGATTTGACCACAGATAAGTAGCCGGTGAATCAACATCACAACAAGCAATTTTGTCATCACTTTACAGGTCAAAGGAGTGTGTTTGATGCTGGTTCTGAAAGTTTACCTGAACTCTTTGTTTTATTTATTTTTTGTTCTCAGTTTTACTGATATATCGTTTAATGTGATGACAGTGTAAGTCTGCAAACATTTTAATAAACAGAGACAGATTTTGTCTTTTATTATGAGAATAAATGAAAATAAAACTAGCTGTTGTCTAGAGAAGTATCTGTACAGGTACTTGGTATCAGTGAGTACACAAGTGAAAATCGCCTTACACATATTGGTTTGTAAAAAAATATATATCAGGCTCTAAATCTACTCCACTCGTCAGTGACCTATATGCAGTAGCTGGCCAGATTTGAAACTAAGCTCTTTTCGAATGAGGTTAGGTTTAAACCACTGGAGGTGTGAATAAAAGGTGTGAATCCCCGGTGAAACTAATAAAAAATGACTGTAGTCACAGTATGCCTTCTGCAGTACAGTTGATGGTAGAGCTGCAGCTGCAGAACCAAGCTGAACAAACATCTGCTGCACTCAAACTACAAAAAGAAAAATCACTTGCATCGGGACAGAAACAAGAGCAGTTCACTGCAAACCAAAAGGCTGAACATACGCAGAGCAGATGAGCACAACAAAACACGGGTTGACAGTTGAAGTCAGTACTGAAATGTACGTTGAACAGGGTAATATCCTGTGTACAATAGTAAAAGAAATTCTCAAATGAAAATGGGATAAAGATGTCATGGTAGATTGTGTCTTAACCTTGTCAAATTTTAACTGAACTAAACTGACTTACATTCACATAAGACTGCATTAAAAAGTACTTAAAAACTTTAAAGGCCTCAAAGCTGATGTCAACTGAGCTCCACTTTGAAGATGGTTTCAGTAAATAAATAGAAAATCTGTCATCAAAGTCTGAAAATCAAAACACTCTTGACCTCAGGCCACAAACCAAAGTCCCACAAATCAATGACATGTTAAAAAAGGAGCCTTTCAGGTAGGAAAATAAATGTTTCCAGCCTACTCCCAAATGGAGCACGGTGGTCTCAGGCCTAAGAGTTTTCTTTTTCACACCTACTGCCTAAAACTACAGACCTGGCATCTGAAGTTGAAAGGACACAAACATGCACACAGGCCCAGTGAGGGTCAGACGCCACAAATATAACCATGGAGCACTCTACAGCCACTGCCTTTGGTTTAGTCCAAATAAAACCCTGGAAATCTGCACCGTCTAATCTGAATATCTTCCTCATTAATGAGCGCCACCAGCTGCCAAGAATGTTGCAAAAACATTCTGTCGGCCAAACCAACACACAAGAAAATATTGTTAGAGCCTTTGACTGATGGAGTTCAGGTGAGTTTGCGCGGGTGAAGCGGGAGTGGTCCATCGGAACACGGCGGTCAAACGTGGCCACCGAGGTGGTAAATAATTAAGCACTTATCTAAATTGAATTTATCTCAGCACATTCATCTAAATGAATACAAGCTGAGGTTTGCTTTAGCAGTGTGGCGCATGACTTCAATTGGAGAGGAAAAAGGAAATTGGTAAGCTGGGCGGCCCCTCTCACACAGGCCAGGGATAAACAGCTGCCCTGTGCATTCTGGGTAAAAAAGCATCCCAAGTAGAGCAGAACAAGTACAGAGAACACCTCCAGATGGCGAAAGAAAAATAAAACACTGCATGTTGACGACGCCTCATCACTGACCTCACGATTTGAGATTTTGCCACCAATATGCCAAAACTATACATTTTTAATAATTAATTTTAAAAAACTATAAAGCAACGTAATTATTTTGTACCAATAACTTTTCTATAACTCAAATGATGTAACATGTCCCTTTTGGTATTAACAACACAATTATGACAGTGTAAAACTCCAATGTTTATAAATAAATAATGGTCTGGATCGGGGGTGGGCAAGCTTTTTGTCTCACGGGCCACAATGTCTCCTAAGATTTGACAGGCTGGCTGGGTCAGGAGCAGATAGATGGAGCGTTCGTGTGAACTAAGATAAATAACATTTAGAGGTCATTCATAAAGGCTAAAAAAACTTTTCTACGTCATCTATTGGGGAAATACAAGCATTGAAGGAAAATTATATTATAAATTAATAATGTAATTTAAATAAATGTAACGGGCAGAATTAAAAAGTCAAATGGCCCGCATCCGGACCCCGGGCCATAGTTTGCCCATGTCTGGTCTAGATAATAACAAAAAAAACTACAAATATCTCACAGAGGGAACAGAATTCTACAGAACAGTACCATAATAATTACATTATTGTAGTTAGTTAGTTCAAAGTCAAGTGTCCATGGTCATAGTAAAGTCACAATGGTGATAATGTACAGAGGTGGATCACATGGACCATAGGCTGTATCATAGGCAAGCACAGACAAGTCATTTTGCAGAGAATCTGCAAATCTGTGTTAGAAACACTGTTGAAGCGGTGGATCTTCGACAGTGTTTTGTCCTCACCACATGAACACACTTGTAGTTCCCTTTGAGTGCTTCTGGGAATGAAAGTCTGTCAAAGTGCTCCAGCTTGATATGACAGTCTATAAGTGCCTTAGTTTGAGTGCAATCAGAAACATTTTCCATGTTCCACGCCGAGCGGTAAAAATGATTTCAACCAAATCAGCGGCACCACTTAAAACAAAGGACGTTTCTGTTTTTTTTTCCTTTAAAGAAACCTCAGTCTGAACAAGGAATAAAGAGGCGTCCAATCAGGAGGCCTAGAAGCGTCTTTTCTTCTCTTTCTGACCTACTTTCATCTACGTCTGTCACGCAAGATTGGGTTTTGATGACATCAGGACTCAGACTGTGTGCTTTCCATTCTTCCCCACTCTCACTTCCTCCAGTCTTTTTGAACACAAAGAGACAAATGGAAGGAGCCGCCGCTGTTCTCCCTCACACGGATGAAAAGGTC